ACATGGTAGAATTTGTTTTACTCGTCTTCTGTCAGGAAGTAACCCTTCTGGCTTTATTAGAAGCATGGTTTGTAATAATTGTACCCGACCCAGATGGCTCCTGAAAACCCTTTGAAATACCATCTGCCAGGCGTGTGTCCAGCCAGCAGTCTGTCATTCTGCTACAAGAAAAGAGAAGGCGGGGTCCCCTCCCTGGGCCCTTTTCTCTGCAGCATCACTGAATGGGGCCTGGTCAGGTTGGCCCAGACCCAGGGCAGGCTGCTCAGAGGATAGTTGGGAAACCTCCTGCTAGCCTGAGCATGGAAAGGTTTTGTCTGGGTAATAAACCCTGAGCGTTTTATGGGTGGAGACTTGCCCGCCCACCTACTCCCTTCCTCTGCTGCTCTAAGGCATCCTCAGCATATTTATTTACACATGGAAAAATGGGATCTGCTAGTTTCATGTTTCCTCTGAAATGTAGCATTTTTGACATTCTTGATTATTTTGAATCTTCTTAGGAAATTAAGACCCCAGGGTGTTTGTTGTCTTTAAGGTAAACCTGACAAATTGGACCTGAAAACATCATTGAAAGAATGGCAAAGATGGCTGCAGACGGAGGAAAAACACAGTGTTGTCTGGTTTAGCAAGACTATAAAACTCAATGCATTTTTTTGTCTTATTTTGTCCTCTCTTTTTTTAGATGGGTTAAGTTAATGGAACTTTGGTATGGAGGCTGAATATGAGAGTTGCCATATAGAACGTATTTAGGACAGATCCTTTCACAGCAAGTTTCAGAGATTCTATTCTTGCAGTGCACTGGAATTCCCAGTGTGATGTAGACTGTTTGTGTTTTACAAGTAGCTGGCTGAACAGCTTTTTCACTTGGCTCCAACACATCACACCCTCCTCCATTGCTCCTATCTTGCTGGCTACTGCTTCTTAGTCTCCTTTGAGGATCTTTCTCTTATTCCCGACTTCTAAAAGTCAAAAGTTTTTAGTGTTCAATCTGAACTTTTTGCCTTTTTTTTCCTAAACTCTCTCCCTAGATTTTATCTTTCTGTCTCTTGACTTCAGATGCCATTGGTTTACTAATCAACTGATCACTCTTATTAAGTTTACATTTTACCCTCTACTCTGACCTTCAGACTTTTAACGTCAGCTGTGCTCCAGCTCTTTGCACCCAGGTGTCTATTAGGCATTTCAAACCCAACATGTCCAGAAGTGAACTTTTTATTTTCCATTTTCTCAAAACCATTTCCCTCTTAGGCCTCCCTAAGAGCCTTCTTAGTCTCTGCAAATGGCACAGCCTGTTTGCCCAGGTCATAAAATAGGTATTTCTGTCTTTGTTACTCTGTCTTTCTTACATACAACATCCAGTCCATCAGCAAGTTCTGTCAGTTCTGTCTTCAAAATATAGACCTAGCATGGTGTGATGAGCTGATATACTTTTTTAAAAAATTAATTTTAAGTGCCAGGTTACATGTGTAAGATGTGCAGGTTTGTTCCATAGGTAAACATATACCATGGGGGTTTGCTGCACCTGTCAACTCATCATCTAAGTAAGCCCCACGTGCATTAGCTGTTTATCCTGATGCATCTGCATCCCCTTTATGCTCTCTGTTTTCCATCAGTGGGTGGCATGGAGAGCATCAGGATAAATAGCTAATACATGTGAGGCTGAATACCTAGATGATGGGTTTTACTTTTAATATGTCTATTCTATGGACTCTACTGTAGCTCTTTAAAATACTCATGTTTGTAATAGAAATCTCACTGCTTCTTATCACTTCTGTCTTACTATTCTAGTCCATATCCTGATTACCATTCATCTGGATATTACAGTAACCACCTAACTAGTCCCCCTGCTTCTATTCTTGCCTACCTTCTGCCCTAGTCTGCCCATAACGTGTTCTCCTTGAAGTCAAAGAGCTTTAAAAAGGAAACTCAAGCTAAATGTGGTGGCTCATGCCTGTAATCTCAGTAATATGGAGACCAAGGTGGGAGGACTGCTTGAGGCCAGGAGTTGGAGACCAGCCTGAGTAATACAGTGAGACCTCCTACCTGTACAAAAAAAAAAATTAGCTGAGTGTGGTGGCATATGCCTATACTCCTAGCTCTCAGAAGGCTGAAGTGAGATCTCTTGAGCCCAGGAGTTCAAGGGGGTCATGAACTGTGATTCCTCCACTGCATTGCATCATGAGCGATAGAGCGAGACTGTCTCTAAAAAGGAAAATAAAAGAAAAACCAAATCAAGGCACCCCCTCACTCAAAACCAATTGAAGGATAACATTCCATTATCCTTAGAATAAAATATGAAGTGTTTTCTGTGGCCTACATGATCTGGCCCCTTGCTTCCCTTTCCAGCCGTTTTTTAGTCAGTCTACCATCATCATGCTGGCCTCTCTGCCCTTCCCAGGATACAACAGATCACAGCTGTATCAAAGCCTTTGCCATTCCCCCTGCCTGGATGCATTCCCCATCACCTTTGCATTAGTCAGGCCCTTCTGAATCAACTAGCTGAAATAGCTTCCCTGCTTCTCCCTTGCTGCTTCTCTCCAAAACACTGTCTAAACCTTTAACCTATGCTACTCTGAGATACTTTCTAATCCCTCAGTTTATAGAAGACAGATTTCCACCTGAGATTATATGCTATAGTTATTTATATACATACTTGTTTTCTGTGTCTCACAGTAACATGTAAATTCATCAGGCATGAGCTTTGTCTAGTTCACCAGTGTTTCCTTGGTGCCTAAACTAGTGCCTGGCATGTGTTGGGACCTCAGTAAATATTTGTTGAATAAATACATTATATAATGCCATGAATTCACACACATATACTTATACAGATATGTATTTATGTAAGTATATGATAACAGATTATTGTAGTGGGATTTGAACAGTAAGATTCTATCAATTCATTCTAACAAAAACATAAACTATAATGTCTACTAAAAATTATTGAGGAAAGTCCTCAAAAAGGATTATCTCATTCAATACACACAACAAACTTATGGATTAGGTGCCATTATTATCCCTGTTTTGCAAACAAGGACACTGAGAAATAGTAGGCACTAAGGAACTTCTCTAAGACCACAAGTTGGAGAGGCAGACCATCAACCCAGCATTCCCACTCCGGTCCAGACAACTGCTGTTTTCTTTTTTTTTTGAGACGGAGTTTTGCTCTTGTGCTCTTCTTGCCCAGGCTGGAGTGCAATGGCGTGATCTCAGCTTACCACAACCTCCACCGCAACCTCCACCTCCCAGGTTCAAGCGATTCTCCTGCCTCTGCCTCCGGAGTAGCTGGGATTACAGACATGCACCACCACACCCGACTAATTTTGTGTATTTTTCAGTAGAGATGAGGTTTCTCCATGTTGATCAGGGTGGTCTCAAACTCTCGACCTCAGGTGATACACTCGCCTTGGCCTCCCAGAGTGCTGGGATTACAGGCATGAGCCACGGTGCCCTACCCAGACCACTGCTGTTTAACAGTATATGTAACATAGGAAACAGTCCCTATGTTTCCTGTGCCTGACACTTGAAATGTAAATTTAAAGGCTGTGAACTACCTCAAGGGATTTGTCATCACCTACCGGGGAGGCAGAAGTGGGAACAAATTAGGAAACAGTGTAAGAGTAGAATTCTTTAACCAGAAGGTTCTAGCATGCTGATCATGAGAAGCAAACATCTTTAATATAACCATTCTGTGCCCAACTTACAGCCATTTAAAACATTCAGATTTCAGATAGAAAAATTACGTGCACTAAAAAATACGTTTTGCCTGAGTAAAGTATGCACCAAGTGTTGAATGATTTTCGCTTATGAAAGTTATGAATATCCAGTGTAGGTGTGGATATAGTCATTCACATGGGTGAATGATCAGAGAATGCACAATGCTAGGAACTTCAGAGCCACTAGGCACATATAGTTGGTTATTTAATTGCATTACATTTCAATGAAGAGATGATAGACATAGGAAAATATCCTTGCTCGTTATAGGGGAAAACATTGACCTTAAATCACCACCACAGGTCATAATGCCTTGCAAAATGAGCTCTGTTGAATGCAACAGCAGAAATCACATTTTTTGCTCTTTTTTTTTTTTTTTTTTGGTCCCATAATATTTAACATAGGCTCCTAGTGCACAGTACATAATTGCTGCTTGGTTTATTTCCCTTTTTTTGACTTACGTTTAAACAACATTCTGCTCATTGCTTCCACTCTAACTGAGATTGGGCTGAAATGATAGATCTATAGCCCAGCACCTGAGCTGGGCAACTTTTGTACTCTGGGTGCTATTATTTTGTAAAAGGAAATGTTACATTTGTCAGCCATTGAGAAGATGACCAGATTGATTCAGGGGGAGAATTTTCTAGCAAATGCAGTGTCCTTTCTCTCTAGTCAGAATTCATGGATGGCCTCTTTTTGCCAAACGTATTAATTACATGAGGAGTAGCAGCATTTTAATCCCTGGGAGATGTCCAACCACAGATCTTGGGCAATCAGATTTCTCTAGTGATGTGTTTATGCAGCGGGTATTATTTTCTATAAAGGGCTTATTACATTGAAACTTCCTGGTTGTATTGAGGAACACAAGAATTTCGAGGCCTGTGATTAAAAACACAAACCCCTTAGGCTCTGAGCTTAAGGTGGATATGTTTTTAGTATTTACTGGAGTCCTAAAAGCTGCTGACTGTGAATGTTGTCTGCATAAAATCCAATTCACCTTTTTTTATTCAGTGCATTGTCAAAATTACAAGACTCTCTCTAGATTACCCAGCTGTACTTGGTTTTCCCTCTCTCCCATTTGTGGGTCCCAGGCACTAGAGGGTGGAAGTGAGGATGTTGTTGTGTTATATTAGAAAGAAGTTGCATTTACTGTGTCCCTGTCTGGACGGATAAGGCAGCAGAGTCTTGGGTACGCCAGCTTACTGAACAGGTTATTTTAATTACACCTGGATGTGGAACTTCCTGTTTTAGTTGACTGATGGCTTGTTGTGCCTCTGTATTTTCTGTTACAGGCACAACCCGATCTCCCAGAGAAGGAGAAGTGCCTGGCGTGGACTATAACTTTCTGACTGTAAAGGAGTTCTTGGACCTCGAGCAGAGCGGGACTCTTCTGGAAGTCGGCACCTATGAAGGTGAGTTACTTGTACAGCAGCATAAAAAGCTTCTCTCTTGGGTACTTCAAAGGAGCCAGAGCCATCCAGGCAAAAATGTGTTGTGGATTCTGGAGGTCTAAACAAATAACAGGAGATTGCAGTTCACCTTATATGGCGAGTAATAGATCAAGTCTGTGGAATAAGACTTTGTGGAGCTCTTTAAAAATGGTTTTTGTTTTTCTCTAGGAGTTTTTTATCTATTCAAGTGCGTGGGTCAGTTTTGTTTTTTCATATGAACATGTATGGTATTAGAAAGAAGAGAAGGAAGAATCATGGTTAATCACAAAAGGCGACCTTATAAGCAGTTTGTTTTAATCTTGTAGTAATAAAATATTACTTTCCTACTGATTGGTTTCTAATGTATTTTTAGTAGAAAATACTCATATGTGATTCATAAAAAAAACTATTTTAAAAATATTTAGTTAAGTAATCTTCATATGCCTGTCTCCCACCTGCCTAATCTAGGATTCAATATTATAAACAATCTGATTACTCTTCTGAAGTTTATGTCAATACAAACATGCATGAGCACATGTGTATATACATGTGCTCATGCATGTTGTATGGATATTCCCATTTCTTCCCTGTTTTCCCCAAAAGGTAGTATACAGCACATGCTGTTTGGTACCTTGCTCTTTTTGTTTAGCAGTATGTCTTAATACATCATTGCAATTCAGTAATAAAGTACTTCTGGTTTTCGTCTTTTTAAAATAGAATTATAAAAATTATAATTCCTTTGTATGGGCATACCATAATTTATTTAACCACTTCCCTCTGAACAAATATTTGAGTCAGTTTCAATGTTTCATATTTCTAAACACTGCTGAGTTGAATGACATAGATGTATCATTTCACATAGATGCAAACATATCCATAGGATCAGATCTCATTGCTAGGTCAGAGCCGAATGTGGTGGAAAAAAGTCATGTTTTTCTGAAAACAGTATTATAGCTTGATTACTTTTTGGAGTGTTATTATTTGAGACAGAAATAGTGTAATGATACTGTTAACTAGGAAGGATTATTAATGTGGTCAAGTTATTATGTTTATCTCTTTACAAGCTCTTTAAAATTTGGATTTATTAGGCATTCAGGGGGCATTTTAAAGATTAGACTTAAACATGAAGGGTAAATGCAAAGTAGATTATTATCTTATTAGGGACATTATAACTTTAATGTGATAATTGCTCCTGTTACAGTGAGTAATAGTCACATCATGATCATGAATCTTAGAGATGCTGTTTCTGGGTTGATATTCTTTGGAGAAGAAGGGAAGGAACATTGTCTTTGTACATACTGCTCATTTCCAAATGTAAATATACAGTGGACAGTGTATATTAATCAGATTCTAGCTCATGATGTCAGAAATTTTTTTTTTCTTTTTAGTATTGCTGATTATCAGTTGGCTTAGTTTCCTGAAACCGTATGTTGGGATGTGACTGAGTGACTGGTGGGCTGGGCAGGGGTCCAAGAATAATCGAGGTCTAGGAGTGTATAGAGGGAGGGGAGGGAGCTGAGGGAAGGTACAAGAAGCTTCTTTAACATGTTGTCAGCATGCTATCCTCACATGTTGTGCATGTGAATTGAGCTAAAACTTCAATGGCCATGGATAGTGATTCCTCTTTGGTTAGCAGAGAGAAAATTGTCCTCATCTGAAATCAGTTATTATGCCCATCTGGGGGGCTTGAGTCATCAAGTACACAACACATCATTTGCATTTTTGGAGTGGCTGGGGTGCAAGTGGTTGTACAAAGCAAAAGAGAATTGGGTCGAACAGGAAAAGCTTGTGATTTAGACTCCAACTTGGAAGAAGGAAAGTAAACTCTCTTTATTCAGTGTTAATGGAACAAATGATATATAGGTGGAGCCAGTTCTTTTTCTCATTTAATTTTATCATTGCAACAGAGGTGGCTATTATCTTCACTGAATTTTTAGATGGAGTCACTGAAGCCAAGTGGCATTAAATAACTTTTTCAGAGTTGCACAGCCAGTTCTAGAATGCTAGAACAGGAACCAAACCCAGCTCAGTGTCACTCTCAGATCCTACACTCTTTCCTGAAAACCTCAAGAGTATCCGAGATGTAACTAAAAAGTTAAGGAAAATAACTCATTGTGCTTGAAGCTAACTTCCTGGTGTGTAGCAATAGGAGAATGTTTCTCAGAAAATGTCTGATCGTTATATAGAAAATGAAACACTCGCTTTGTGAGTGTTGCATAGTTATTTTAGAATTGGAATTTTCTTATGCACAGGATTAATCTTTTCTAATTCTAACTCATTTGATTGTACAGTGTTCTTCAGCCTTTGGCCTATTAGCAGTGAAATTTCCTTACCATATGAGGTGGCTCATAATTTTTTGGAACTGGCCGGAATATACTATATTGACTCTTATAAGCTGAGAGCCAAATAGATTTTTATTAAATGCTGTATACCCTCATAGGAGTAGGGCTGGAGAGACATTTAGAGAACTTCCTCTGTCTTTGCCTCCCCCGGACAAGTCCCTTGTTGGTGGCTGCTGTCTGTTGGTGGACACTAACAGGCCTGCAAGGCCTGCTGTCACACTGCCTGAGTTTGATTCTCAGCCCCTTTGCTATTGAGCTGTGTGCCCTCCGGCAAGTTACTTAATGCTCCATGTCTCCATTTTCCCATTGGTAAAATGAGGATAATCATAGTGTTTCCTTAGAGGTAGGGCTAAATGAGACAATAATTGGAAAGGGCTTAGCAGACTGTCTGACACATGTAAGCTCTCCATCAGCATTAGCTCTCATATTTACACACACCTAGTTTAAAATTGCTCCCGTAATGGATCCCTTCCCCTCTGCTAGTCAGTAAACCAGCAGATTTGCCAGTAAAATGTCTTTATTTACTGTTTTCCCCTCCTGAAATTGCTTTTTCCAGATCTCTACTGGTTCCAGAGAGGAAAAATCTCTCACCACAACGCAAAACACTCTTTAAAGCAAGACATATATAAATGTTGAAGTAAAAGTAGTAAGTGTACATGATGGAGTAGTTCCTGTAGTAAAAGACTTAAAACTATCTACGTCCAAGTTGTTTTCCCTCTTCCATATAAGTAACCATTATTAAAGATGCTAGTGCAAATATTTATAAAACTTATACACAGCATATATGTATATCTTGTTTATTTCACTCTATTCTTGCCCTTTGCTCTTAACATACCTTGGAGATCTTTCCACATTACCGCATACAGTTTTTCCTCATCCTTTATAAATGCTGCATAGAATCCCAGTGAATGAATGTGTGTGTGTGTGTGTGTGTATAAAACTTAACTAGCCCCCTGCAGGTGGACATTTTAAATGTCCCCGCCTCACCTCCGCCTTCTGTTTTTGGTGGTGGTGTTATAAACAGTGCCTCAAGTGTCTTGTTACACAGTTATGAGCATAACGATAGGGTAAGTTTCTGGTGGCACAGCTTTAAAGCAAGTCTTTTAATGCATATAAAGTCCATTTCAACAAATATTTATTGAGCATTTATTTCAGGTCAGACTTTTTCATGAGGCAAGGGATATGATGTACAGGGCAGTAGACCAAAACTGCCCCGACTTTGAAGGTGCTTATGTTTTTTAGTTAATTATTTTTGCTAATGCTTGTGTAGCACATAGCAGGTGCTCTTCAAAGGGCATTGTATGCACAAACTCATTTAATCTTCCTAACAAGCCTATGAGGTGGGTCCTACTTATGACCTTTCACAGAAGAGGAGTATGAGGCCCAGAAATGTCAATGATCTCTTCCAAGTTCACATGGTAAACCAAAGATAGAGCTGGGATTCAAATTTAGGCCCCTGGGCCCCAGAGCCTACACTCTTCCCCTGCTTAGTCTTGTGAGGCAGATTAAACGTAAACAATTTTGTTGGGTATGGTGGCTGGCACCTGTAATCCCAGCATTTTGGGAGGCCGAGGTGGGAGGACTGCTTAAGCACTGGAGCTCAAGACCAGCTTAGGCAACATGGCAAAACCCCATCTCTACAAAAAATACGAAAGTGAGCCAGGCATGGTGGCATGTAACTGTGGTCCCAGCTGACTCTGGAGGCTGAGGTGGGAGAATCGCCTGATCCTGGGAAGTTTAAGGCTGCAGTAAGCCAAGATCACACCACTGCATACAAACCTGGGCAACAGGAGTGAGACTTTGTGTAATATATGAATGAATGAATGAATGAATGAATGAATGAATGTAAACAGTTTTAAGAACAGTGATGAGTGGGCCAGGTACAGTGGCTCATGCCTATAATCACAGCAGTTTGGGAGGCCAAGATGGGCAGATCATTTTAGGTCAGGAATTTGAGACCAGCCTGGCCAACATGGTGAAACCCCCTTTCTACCAAAAAACAAAAACAAAAACAAAACGAAAAAAAACCCCAAGAATCAAATATTACCTGGGCATAGTGGTGCACACCTATAGTCCCAGCTACTTGGTAGGCTGAGGTGGGAGAATCACTTGAACACAGGAGGCAGATGTTGCAGTGAGCTGAGGTTGTACCAGCCTGGGCAACAGAGTGAGACCCTGTCTCAAAAAACAACAACCAAAAAGAAAATTGATGAGTGTTCTGAGAGAAACTACACAGCACTCTGAAGCTTATAGGAAGGGCGCACCATTTCATCTAGTGTTGGCAGACTCCCTGGAGGAGGCGAAGCTATGGGAGGACTATGTTAGGCCAGGTAAGTGGCTGGGAGATGGTTTTTGAGTTTATTAGTCAGTATGGGCCATGGGGCCTGAAACCAGAGAGAGCAGTGTCATGATGAACCAGGAGAGGGTTAGAATGATGGTTTCTAGAAAGGGAGGGGAAGCAACCACACCCTGCTTCCCTTAGAACCACTGCTATTCTGTAAGAACTTCCTTCTGTGCTGGGAATGTTCAGTATTCTGGACTATCCAGTACAGCAGCCAGTAGCCACCTGTGGCTCTTTTGATTGAGAAACTGAGTTTTAACTTAATTTTAATTCATTATAAACTCATTTAAATTTAGGTA